TGGGTGATGCATAAGTATGATATAAAACACAAACATTTCGTATTTTCACGTTATTTTTAACGGGTAACAGCTACTAAAACATTTCAAAAACGAACTTTGATGTACTTTCTGGTTTAGAACCAAGAAAGAAAATAGTATATTCCAAAATCTAGTGTCGCAATGGTGACGCCAACCTCGACTAACCTGTATGTTTATGGCCTTGACGTCACGCTCCTCGCGCCCAGTGAGAGTCTACTAGTGGCAGAACTAGTGACCCGGACCGCGGTTGGTCTCGATCCGAGTCTGCAGGCTGTGTGGCGCTGCAGCTCGCCGCTGGCCCTCCGCTTGCTGGTAGGGGTGGTCAGCGCGGTCTGCCTTGGGAGGTCGCCCGGCGCTGACTCGGGCGCGGCCTCGGAGGGGACAGCTGGTCCGACGCTCCGGACGCAGCACCGGGATGGTGGTGGCGTAGCGCGCCTTTCCCAGGTGGCGTTGGGCGTACAGCTGGCTCTGCCGAGCTGTGGGCGTCGCGCCTTTCCTCCAGTCGGCGACGAAAGCGTTCAATGCCTTCTGCCAAGACGGTCCCTGGTCCGGGTGCGCAGCGGTGTCCTCCAGGACCGCTGCAGAGACCGCCTCGGAGAAGGCTGCCAGTGACTGGCGCACCTCTTCCAGTGGGTCGGGAGCCGTTACTCTAGACGAGCTGGCCAGTGCCACTGGCGGACGACTGGTGAAATCGTCGCCGCTGTCTGATGCTCCTCCACCATCGGCGGGCTCTGGGGACGGGGCAGCGTCTTCTGCGACGGTGGTTGGGCGCAGCGCAGGTTCCGGACCGGGAGTCCTCAGGTCCGCAAACCAGTCGGGAGACATATCTTGTCGACCTGAAACAAAACCAGTGATTGTAGCTTATTAATGTAGGCATTGCAAGAAACAATAGTTTATCGAAATGGTTCATTTTTGACCGTGCCCTGATTTGATTTAAAAAAAATAGTACCTGCGTCACCGTGTGTTGGTTTGACAAGATGTACATGGTAAAATAACATGGTGTTTATTATTTTTTATCGAGTCATGTTGTGCCAGGTCAGGCTAAGGAGACTGAAAGCCGAAAGGTCACATTGTATGTCATTCGATTGGGATATGTTATCAATTTTTTAGATACACTGGAGATGCCTTTCGCGATAGGTGGGTGACGACACTTTTAACTTAACAAATGACGCCATATTTTAGCGATACTCCAGCCTCGAAGCGTATCGGTGACCTGCAATTCCGTATTTTAGTAGGTAATCTAGGGTTTATATGGATGACAATGATATCCCTTTTAAGACGGAAATCGGGGTTTCAATATGACTCTTTTGCTTACAGTGATGAGATCACGTAACTGGCCAGTTGCCAGACCTCGAACTGACCTCACGAACACAGAAATCAATTTATGCGATCTATTGAGATTACGATTCGCTGTGCCAGGCAATTGACTCACCTGTCGCCACGAAGTACATGAGCTTCCTGTCCTCGACGCTCGCAGTGTCTGCAGTTGCAGAGTTATCGGCCGTGCCGCTGTCGAGGGCCTTGACGGCGTCAAGGTGCTTGCACCTGCCGCCCCCGACATACCCCGGACAGGTGCACATATCCAGGGTGCTGTCCACGGTGTACAGGGTGCTGCCGTCTGTGGACAGCACGCTGTAGATGCCCGGGTTCTCCTGCAGGAATACAAAACGACGATACGCACCAATCAGTCATTGTCCTTTCGTTAGGCAGAGGCAGAGCTGTTTGTGGCGAAAACTCTGTTTGATTTGAATGACTAGCGCAGAATGTAAGGGTGTTGATTTAAGTACCTACTGGTGGAAAAAAACGCCGGGACTGTGAACTGTCACTTGTCCGAGGGAATGAGAAAATTGTGTGTGTGTGTGAGTGTAGAGCTGGCAAAACAGCATCATTTTCATAACCTGTTAAGCGATGGTATTCAATTCCACTTTTGCAGTAGCAGTAAAGCTGTCGTGAGACCGCAGCAGCGCAAGACGACACATGTGAGACCATAACGTAGTCCATCCACGACGATATCTCACCCCGTCGGGAGTGATGCGGTCCCGTGGGACGCTCACAGCGCTGCTTCGGGAGCCTCCCTGACGGGCAGCCGGTGGTCGCCGTCCACTGGCGAAGCTTACGAGCTTTCGCTCGTAGAAGTCGCTCAGTCTGAGGCTGAGTACGTCGTGGAGCTGGAGGACGTCGTAGAGCCGAGTCCTGGGAAAGACACAAAATCACCCTCGCCGTTACGGACTTTTTGCCACCCTCGACGGTGCATACAGGAGGTAGAGAATCCATGACGGGTGTGAATTGATGATAAATAACTCAAGTTTATTGGAAAATGACTGAGTTATATGACTTGAGTGAAAAAGACTTTCAATAAACTTGGTTATGTATCGTCAATTCACATGCAGGACTTTGGACTTGGTACGACCCCCCTCCACACACACACACAGCGCAAAATGACCTCGCAGTTGACGCGCCCTAAAACCCCAAACAACAAATCACAAACGCATGCACGCACGTACAGCATAGCACATCCATATACCCTTCATGACACAGAAGTGATGCACCCCCCCCCCCCTTCCCCGGTGAAGACTAGCAATCGATCGGCAGATAGCAAGGTAAAGGCGACAGACGGGACAGGGCAGTCAGCAAACGAGATAAGTAGGTAAATGATTGATAAGTTTAAGTTTGTTTCATACGCTAGCATTGAGCCGAATCAACTATTTTCGAGAGAGGGGAAGGTGATAACTGATAGTGGATAGATGCCTTACTTAATTTGCGCTAGAATGTCTTAAGATTTACCGGTGGAGGACGTTGTCCTTGAGAACCCTCATGGCAGCCTCCACGGTATTATTTGTGTTGTGGCCCCGTGTCGGGAGGCCAGCCCTGAAGCACAGGGCCCACTCCTGCCGCCGATCCAACAGCGCCTGCTGGTAGGCGATGAACCGCGGGTAGAGGGCACCCCACCGACCCTGCAGCGTCTCCATGGCCTCCGCGAGGCCACGCTCCGATGGTGCGTACACCATCTGCTTGGCCAGCCTCATGAGCTCTTGTCGATGCTGTGAACACAGATCAATCTGTTCAGGCAGGCAATTGAATAGTCAGACATTCATGGTGATGGGAGAGGTCGGATTCTGCTTGGCGAAACACAGATAACTCCAAAAACAGATAATCCAGAATTGTGGACCGAAACCGAGCCATGTTAACGGTTCAGGATCCTAACAAAATGTTTTAGCGTCCCCAAAATCTTGCAAGAAGTGCCGCCTACGGCCTCGGCATCGCATCTCTGGTCTAACGTGTGATCCGTAAGTGACCATTGCATTGAACAATAAGTGAGCATTTACCTGCTGCCTGATGCCGTTTTTGTGGCTAAACAGCCACCTCCACGTGGCCTGCAGCACGTGAAACACGCACAGGAGTCTGGTCGCGTCAGGCCAGACCGAGTGCAGTGCGTTCCGCTCGCTAGCGCTGTCGTCAGTCATTAGGATCTGCGGCCCTGCTGAGCCACGGCCACCGAAAGCGTCTGTAAAACGTTATCATCGAAATTACCATGTGAAACCGGTTGCAGGCCTCGATTATATTATTATTGAAAAATGTTACACGTTTGTAAGTGTTGGTTGTAATTGTTGTAACCAATGAAAATAATCGCATTCACAAAAGCTCTCAACCACGTATGTCAGACCCGCGGTAGGTTGAACGACCTGATCAGCGGGCAGACCGGGACCATTGGGGCGACGGTGACAGCGGGACGGATGACCCTTATTGGGTTGTCGAGAAGGACCAGGTAGCCTACCACTCAGTCTGACGGTAGCGGTACATACATAAATGAAGTACGGTTTTATTTGTCATTTTCATTGCGCTACGTTAAAGTCGTTATGTGCCGACGTAACATTATCTAAGGTAAACTTAAGAAGTTACAAGGAGGTGTACTAGAGATAGCTTAGCTCGTGAGTATCCTTTGCAGACTGCGCGACAGGTTGGACGACCTTATCAGCGAGCCGCTGAGGGTCATTGGGGCGACGGTGACAGCGGGACCTGTGACCCTTAGTGGCTTGTCCGGAAGGGCCAGGTAGCGTACCTCACAGTCAGTGTAGACGGGTGAACATACCTTCCGGCAGCATCGACTGAAGCAGCGAGAAGGCGCTCTCCAGCGTGGCCTGCGCCTCGTCGTTTGTGATGACGACGCCGAGGGGTAGGCCGCCTACCACGGTGGATGCCATGAAGAGGAATATGCGGGCCTGTGAGCGGTCGCAGTTCCCACCGGCGTCGACGAATACTGTCTCTCCCGCCTCCGGCAGCTGGTGGACGCGCGCCATCAGCGGCGTGACGATGGCCACGGTGCAGCGGCCGTCTGACACGTCCACCCGCGTGTCCGAGCGGCTCTCGGCCAACTCCAGCAGGCGGTCGACCAGCGCCGTCTTCTTCTGGTCCCCGTACTGCTCGCCGTGGATCTTGTAGTACAGGCTGAAATAAAGTCAAAGAACGCAGTGCCCTTTAATGACCTGAAAACGGAAAGGTCGCACAATGGGCAATTATCACAGTTGACACGACACAACCAGTAATGCGGAGTTGACCGAATTTCAGCGACTCCGGCTCCGGCCCGCTAAAATCGAATCCGACTCCAGCTCCGACTCTGGTCGGTGAAAAATTACTGACTCCGACTCCGGCCAAAACTACCGACTCCGGCCGACTCCGCAGCACTGGACACAACACCTCTAGTCAAATCCATTTGTATGAGACGCTCGCCAGGTCTGACTGGTACGGATCAAGTCAGCTGTGGGAATCGAACCCACTGCCTCACCAAACGATTCAACTGTGGAGGACATTGAAGAGCAAGTTGTGCAATGGACAGTTTGGCGCCTCACAAAGGCACGTAACATTATTATATATGCGATGCTCACCATATCTTACACATACTATTGCTCACCAACTGGATGGTGCTAGTTAGAACTAGTACCGTCCGCCAGTGCTTATAGAAATATATTTTTCAATTACACACACACAAAAAAAAAAAAACGGAATACATGGGAAACGCAAAGGATTGAAGTCGTGTTCCTATTGAAGTTCGCATTAATCCGGTGATACATAGTGTGAGACGTAGTTTAATCGAACTTGAGCGTAGGAGGACTAGCATTCTGCGTAGTCATATTACTGCATGGTTATCAACTGCTTACTGTGGCAGGCGTATATAGGTATAGGTACTGTCGGATGAGAACTCGGATATGCCGGATGGAAAGATAAGGACACGAACCGGTAGACGTAGGAAAGATCTGGCAGGAGCGAGCGATCGGCAGCCTTGAGAGGATACTCCTCCCCCCACTCCTCCCTGAGCTCCATGTCGAGGGTCTGCAGCGCCGTGCTCGGAGAATGATAGTGCCTGAACAGGCTCTTGAGCTTGGCCTCGGTCGCGTCGCTGACCCTTCGGTGTTTCAGTGCAGCCGGAATGTCCGTGGCGTGGTTGTGATGTCCCAGGCCCCTCACAACCAGGCCGCAGGATGCATGCAGATTATCGCTGGAACAATATTCGCATAATGTCAGAAATCGTTCCCCGCCTTTTCAGGAGACACACAATGCACCCCTCCCTCCCCCGATGTTGCCGGTAACAAATCTGATGTGATGAGAGAAGATTTAAACGCATACAGGATGCGCAATGTGCGTTTCATTGGTCTCTGCCAATTTCTACAAAGGGTATGTTGACGAGGACCTGATTTGTTAAAAAAAAAAAAACAATGCACTCCAAGCATGTAGGCACACCCCTCTGCAGACTGCGCGGTAGGTTGGACGACCTTATCGGCGAGCCGAGCGGGGACATTGGGGTAGCGGTGACAGCTGGGCGGATGACCCTTATGGGCTTGGCGAGAAGGACCACGTATCTGCCACAAGTCTGCAGACGGGTGTACCTGTAATTAAAGATAAATGCCGAATTTAAAAAAAAAGAATTTTGCAAGCATTCCTGAGCATTCCTGCAAGCATGCGTTTTGACACTCCTGCCTGCCTATATTAATGGGTAGGGGATTTTAAAAAATCGAACGACACATCACACATCGGTACTGTTAGGTACCAAAGTCATAACCAACCTGATTCGCGACATAGAGCTCCTAGTCTTGGAGACCACATGCAATCTCCAGGGGCACTGAGTGTCCTTTGCAGACGCCTTCCGACCCCGATCGCGGACGTTGTGATGGCACACATACGTCGCCTGCAAACCAGGAAATGTTACAACAGCAGCCACTTAGACCTCTCCCAAAGAACAGAGCCTGTAACGCAGATCGTCCACGGCACACGCGCACCTTCATGACCTAACGATACAATTTAGCATTGGCGGCTACAACACTGGTGTTCAGCGCAGACCTAACGCCGAGCTGCCGACGCGTCCCCATAGTCCGTCCCATGTTAAATTGCGTTGTTAGACTATTACGCGTCTGCATGGGGTCGTTTCATAAGACCCTTCCGTAACTTACGTCGGGTTATCTAGCCCATTTGTTCAGACATAATATGAATCTAAGGTGTTTCAACATTTTATATCCGTTTTATGCAGTTTTATGCATTCGTTTTTTTCCATTCACAGCAAGAGTGGAAATGCGAAGTAAAAAACGCAATAAGTCTATGCAAAAACGTTGAAATCGCGTGCAGAAAAACGGCGTACGTTATTTTTTCCGTAGCGTACGCCGTAACGTTTTTTTTTTTATGAAACGATCGCCAGTAGGGTGTCCCAAAAAGCGGCCTCCCATAAGGGTAAGCTTAACCCTCGCCCGCATATGCGATTTTCCCACCCTAGAACGCACATGTGGGGGGATGGGGGTGCAACCCCCCCCCCCGCCGTTTCGCTCCTGATCATGCTAGAGCTTCGGTACAAAACCATACGAATCCTTGGGATGAGACGAATCCAACGAGACATAGTTTTACTTTCCTATGTCACGTCTTGACCTTGCTAGGTCAGGTCAAAGTAAAAATGTTGGTGATTTCGGCGGTATAGGGCTTTACTATGGGATTTCATGTTCTCCGCTATTTTGTGGCAGCGGGCGAACTTAGGGGGAAGGGATGAGTGGGAGAGGGTAGGGGAGGTTTAGGGGGCATCGATTGGGGGCTGGAGGGGGCTAGCAACAGACATGAAAGCGGCGCATCTATGACGGCTATTTACGGTGATCTAGCTTAACCTCGACCTTCATGCTCACTCAAGGCACATTCACTCAAGTCACATCACTCACTCAAGGTGGCATTCTTCCCTTAAGTTTAGTATACAGAACTCTTTAAATTTGGTGCTAAAAATATGTCCCAAGTCTCTCCACTCTCCCCTAATGTGCAGCGATGAAAAACTGTCTGGGGGTGGCATCACCCCCCCCCCCTCTCCCATGTGCTGTAGGAATACATGAATACTTACCCTGTATGCCAGAAACTTGCCGCCCTTAGTGCAAGTATCCACTGACAGAGTCGTTCTTGTCACCTCTTCATACAGCTTCCGGAAGAGCTCAGCGCTGGCCTGTCCAACTGGACACTCAAATCCAATTGCCGTCCCTTTCTCCAGTTCCTGTAAACAAATTGATTATTGAAACGATGTCTCCTAGGTCAACAAAGTAAAAATGTTTCGATATTTTAGCGATATCGACATTCCTTCGCAAATCTCGCCATAGCACCGTAGCAATGAGGGCTAGAGTCGCGGAAAACCATTCAACAGTTCTTTTTAAGCTCTATCGTTTCTTGAGATTTGAGCTCAGGTCGCCGCTTTACCGGTTTAGCATCGAGATCACGTAACGTAACATCCGATTTCTACCAAAATTGATTTTCTGCAATAACTTTTGATGCAGAAACTACAAAGAAATTGTTCACACACCCTGGTTCTGAGATCGTCAATTCGCGTCAAAGGCAGAAAACAGTTGACAATTGCTATCGATCAAAGTTGGGGCTAATCCTAATCACGCTATTGGTAAGACTGACCCCCCCCCCCCCCGGAGAGGGTCTAACAAGTGCAATGTTTGCCAGCATGTAAAAGCTGATGTACCCATTTTTTAAATAAAATAAAAAAAACGGTGTCCTTCGCACACTGACACTCTCTAGCCTTCGAGCGGTCCTTGCCAAAGACACATGCCATTACACGTAGGAGCTGAATGTGGCCGGTGCCGACGGTCACGACTCACGAGCCCGATTTGAGTCCCGGGGGCTCAATCCGGGCTCTCGCTGTCGCTACCTGTTTCAGCGTCGTAATCAGGCGCTTTAGACCACTCGGCCATGAGCCATGAGGCCATAGACCAATCGGCCATGAGGGGTTAAGTTAAAACTAGGGAGCGGGGGGGGGGCTAGTTGAAAAACTTACCTCATGAATTCCGTCAAAAACGTCCAGTCTGGGACATATGATATCCCCTTTCAGTCTCCTCAGTTCTTCCTGAAAAGGAAAGTGATGTTAATATAATGATTATGAGACCTTTTCAGGTGACAAGTGCAAAGCAAAATGACTATATTCTCAGCCTCTAATACATTTAATATGTAAAATCAAATTGATTATTGTTCAGCAAACATTAATCAATCCACAACAAAGTATGTAATGTCGTTCAGAAATATAAGTTTACACACAGCATGATGGCATTATGACTGCGACCTTGTCACCAAACATGAAGACAATTACACCTGCGAGTAATACACAAAATCATTTCTGGTTAAGAAACTTTTCCAGACTCCAGAATTAAGGGACCTAAAGCAGAGACACAGAGAAAGAGAGGGAGTGAGAGCAAACCCATTCAAGAGCCAATCTATCATGTCTTCAAACTTCAATTGAAACAAATTTGCATTGAATGTCCCCTGATAGATGTCATACTTCAAGTTCACATTTTTAGCTGGTTAATAAAACACCATAAAATGAGAATTGTTAGCGATGAGTGTTGTTAGGAAAATGGTTAGGAGCATAGCAATATGGAAGGTGATAACTATGCCCCAGTTAACATACACACATGGTACCGTATGGTGCATATGTGGGCTAACCCACCTTCTCCACATGGTGTCCACCTGGTTTTGTAAGACGTCTATGCATTGGAACCATATGGGCTAGCCCATATGGTTCGGTTCCCATGCATACATGTCTTCCAGACCCATGCTCTTCCCCTGCCCATGTGAGACCACCTTGCCCTTGTAATGTCCATGTGGTAACCACATGGGTGTATTAACTGGGGTATAGCCTTGTATATTTTGTTTTGCATATTCCTTCTAGATATGTGACGGGAATCCCACAAAGAATGGCTCCCCAGTGCCCAAGGCTCCCAACGTCAAACAACCCTGTAAGTTGTAACCTCTTGACATGCTCAGCTTTGACCAGTGCTGCAAAGTCAGAGTCAGAATCAGCTGAAGTTGGTATGATAATTTTGACTAGAGTATTAGAGATGGACTGCCCTATAAAGCTTCAAAGTTTGTTATTTTTCGAATAACACAATATACCCTACAGTCTACACTTCATTCAAATGGTGCTTATGCTGCTGTTGAATGGAGAAATGTTGAGCATAAAACATGCAAACAGCTCACCTTTTCAAGCATCTTGAATGCATACACCCACAAGGCTGGAGGCTGGAGCACTGGAAATGAAATGGAGTAAGAAATGTTATGGACATTGTTGTTGAGAGCCAAATTTATTCTGAATGATTCTGTTTGCATTATACTATTCACAAAAACACACATTAGTACCTACATCACTGAAAGCTGATTGATCAATGAGCGCATGTTTAGCTTTTGCAGGTTTATAACCGAAACAATTTGACATGAGAAACATAGGCGCACTCAAACATAGGCCTGCTCCTGATGACCAGGCGCAGGCCAGGCATGCAGTGATACCTAACATTCAGGCACAGGCCAGGCATGCATTCAGAAAATTATTGGTACACCTCAATCATGCATTTGCCACGCTTTGCAGTCTCGATCAAGACTCGGCCAGTCTGCAAAAGGTGGCAGGTTTCAGATAGATAGATAGATAGATAGATAGATAGATAGATAGATATATAGATAGAGATAGATAGATAGATGATAGATAGATAGAGATAGAGATAGATAGATAGATAGATAGATAGATAGAGAAGAGAGAGAGAGAGAGAGAGAGAGAGAGAGAGAGAGAGAGAGAGAGAGGAGAGGAGAGGAGAGAGAGAGAAGAGAGAGAGAGAGAGGAGAGAGAGAGAGAGAGAGAGAGAGAGAGAGAGAGAGAGAGAGAGAGAGAGAGATAGAGAGAGAGAGAGAGAAGAGAAGAGAGAGAGAGAGAGAGAGAGAGAGAGAGAGAGAGAGAGGAGAGACAGTACAAAAGATGTTGCGAATTTCAATTCATACCGAAATAACGACCGTTTGACACGTTTGCCTGACAAAGATGACAGATTGAGATGGAATTAACAGCCAGCCTATAATAAAATGTATAAACAAACAATGAGAGAGGCCTGTTCAAAAAGTTAATATGTAGCTGTCTACACTAAATAGTCGGTGATTTTCCGTTGGAAATTTTGCGCAAACACCACCTTCATGGGCCTTCGAACAGAACCACCACAATTGAAACAAAAGCGCCAAAAAACTCGAATGTTTGTTTTTTTCGCTCGGGAAAGATATATACGCATACCACCGCGTGCTACAAAACGTTTTAGTCAAACATTTAAAAATCGTTAGATATTTGCGCTGACGTCACACATTCAGAGGGGTATTCCTAAGCATTAGCCCCTCTGAATCAAAATGCTGCAATTTTGAAATTCAATATTTCCGATTTAAGGCATTTCTCGATGTTGTGAGTGCCGAAACCGGTAATTGTGAGCTAGGGACCCCATTTTGGCTATCTCAACTCAAATCTAATGTTAAGGTGGGAGGGTCCCTTTAATCTAGAAAATATTGTCGTTTTTTAATTTTGCCTCTCATTAACGCATTTTCCGGAATGTGTGTTTCTTGAATGAACAATACAAATTGGTACTGATTTTTCGAAATCTTGATCTTTTGAAGTAAAAGAAAAAATGAAATCCAAAACATTACTTTTTAAGAAGAATTACTGGAAATCTTAAAAAACATTTCTTAAAGGTAGACAGAAATGGCGCATGTAATCCAAACTGAGACGAATCGAAACGCGCAGATGCTTATGTTAGAAATTGTGATAGGGGTGGCGGCGCGGTCTTAGGCCGTTTGGGGTTATGATTTTTTGTAAAACGCTGGATTTCATATCTGCGTTGCATTAGGATTATATAGTCAACTGTTTCATAACATTTCCACGTATAGTGTTCAGCGAAGTACGGGCCTAGAGGGTCGGAAAGTCGGCGCGGTCTGGTACTCTCCGCGCACGCCCATAGTCTAATAACCATGTCTGGGCAAGGAGGTGGAGCGGGTAAGTAGTTGAATAATTAATATTTTTGTAGAAGGCCTTGCACTCCATAACATTTTGTCCAAGGTTTTGCTGAAGGGTTTGTTAAATGCAATAATGTCTCGTAGTTTGAGTTGTGTCGATTCTGGCATCAATGATCATCTGTCGCTGGCTTTGACATCCATGAAGGTCCTATGAGTCATTAAAAGTATATAAATATGTTTATTAATCATGTTCAGTTTAGAAAATGTTAGAAGTCCTGAATTTTCTGAAGTTCACATGCTGAGATGTAGCCTAATACGATGGCTATCATAAACTTTATAATTGTAGTTAAAGTTATGACCTTATATGCATCTGTAAGAGATGGCATTTGGTCGTCACCAGAGCTTATTCCTTATCCTCATTTATTATCCTCATACATGGTCCTTTTATATTGTCATTGGCCAATGGCCAGCAGGGGTGGACAAATGTGCTGAGTTGGGGTAGCACGGGCACAGCAAATCCGCCGCCGCCCTAGCGGTGACCTTGACCTCCGCCGTCTGTTGCTGCTCTAAAGCCAAGCCAGCGTGGAATTGGGAAAGCTCGTGCTACCCCTACTCGGCACAATTATCCACCCCTGATGGCCAGGATGTCACAATGTTTGTGTGCAATCCTTCAAAACCACCATGTTATTTCAGCTTTTTGGGGGTGTCCACAGTTCAGAGGCCCCCATCAGAGAGTTGTATTATACTTTTGATTTAGTACCTATTTTGCAGATTTGGAAAAAAGATGACCAAGGGCTGTATGAATCTTTTATCTCATGTAACTTAATGGGAGTCCTGCCTCTACCTGCTTTACCTATATACACCAGTCATTGTCACCAGTCAAGTCCTTGGCATCATTTTCTTGGCTTTATTTTTTAAGTCTATGCCATAGTAATCTGCAGAATCATAAATTATACATAAAAATTCATGATACTCTACTTTTGTTTGTAATGATAGCACTCATGATAAAGAAATGTAATGCTGACTGCTGAGCTCATTCATGTTGTTCATGCCACCCTCAAGGTACCAGATTCAAAATAACTGTATTTGTATTGTATTTATGTTGGACTTGGTATGTATTTGTAATGCATTATCATTGTGTTATTCTTTATAGTTTATTGCAAAGCAGCTGCAAGTACCTATGCAGGATTTTTATTGGTAGTGTTTATAGTGTGCAATAAATATATGAAAATAATAAATAAAGATAAAATATATTTTAGTTTAATTGTTCATAGTGTGCAAAATATTTGCCCTAAAATTCAAATCAGCTCCATAACATTATTCATCATTACAACAAGTTGACCAACCTGATGCAATCCAGATGTTTCTACTTCTATGAATTCCTATGAGTACACTGTGTTTGTTTGCATTTGGTTTATTCTCCAGTTCCATAATTTGAATAGGAGGAATATAGATTGATGAATTAATTGTAGTTTCTGGTTTTCTTCATTTACCATTTATGTATTCAAATGATGGCAACAAGCCAGCTCTCCTCCCAGAACAATAACTGAAAACTACTTAGTTTGTGGCCCAAGTCCCTTCTATGCAGGTAACAAATTCACTTTAAACTCCAATTCTCTTGATATACAATAATGCATTGTCAATTAAACTTAAAATAAACTAAAAAGCTGCTTTGAGGTCTATGAGTATTATAGCATTGAGTTCTACCAAGCCAGGCCTGGGAGGTGGCCAGTGGTAACATTACAAAGGAGATAAACATGTCAGAAAATATCACATTGCGCTGTCTCATATCGACCTCTCGGCTCTCCCTGTCTCTATGCTCACCGCAGTATCGTTTGACGGCCGCGCCTCTCTGTTCGTCAGTGGTACCGCGGAATTTCCGTCTACTGGAGGAACTGGAAGCCGGTCAGAAGGGCAGCGGCGACGGCACCATCAGCTGGGGACTGGAGGATGATTCAGATATGACCCTGTCCCGCTGGACGGGAATGATTATCGGACCGCCCGGGGTACGTGCAGTACAGGGTAAATGTACAGTTGTATAGTACCATCTAGTGTTGTATCACAATCATTGAACATTACGGGTTTGTACCATTCAATGGCAGATCGTGATCATCGAACCGTTCGGGGTATTAATGTATATGACGTATGTATGTAATGTATGTATTGACATCAAAAGCCTTCCACATATGACGTGGCGATCCTACAGGGTAATGATACGATCGTATCATTTAGCCGTTCCCGGACGGTATCATTACCCCGGACGGTATCATTAGCCGGCTCCGTAGCTCAGTCGGTAGAGCGTTGGACTTTGCGTGGTGAGAGCACGCATTCCCGGTTACAACAGTCCGGGTTCGAAGTGCGACGGGCGCTTGACGTTTATGGGCTCCTGACAGGTATGGTTGCGGTTGATGACAGGCCGTAGCCAGGCGAAGTCAGTGAGGGGACCGGCCGTACGCGGCTATGTGCGCACGTTAAACTTTGGACGCTAAATTCTGCCATATAACTGGAATTGCGCGATCGGAGGGTAGAGGGCGGGGTCAGCGCAACAAGCTTCGCTTAGCGGGGCCTCTGACCTTGTGAATCCTTCCAATCAAAAGGTTCGGACTAAATTTATTTTAAAAAATTAATAGGGTGTCGTTTTCATTGCACCGCGCCGTGTTAACTTTTAACCAGGGCTTAGGTACAGTCCAATCCAATGACTTGTCACGAACATTGGACTGACCGGGATACACACGCACAGGCCGGTACAGTCGCTCAGTTGCTTGGCTGTCAGGACCATCAGGGATCGCGAAAGGACTGTGGTAAATGGGTTCCACGGTCGAAGGACCGCCCGTAGTATTTCAGGGTACACAGTCGAACCTTTTAATAGCGTGTCTGACAATCTCACCAGAGATATGTTGAAAGGTTAGCTTCATATTTCATTAGATGGGATAGCGCAGTGGCAGTATTTGGTCTTATTTTTGCTAGTCTTCTAAGATGACATGACGCTATGTCAACACTTATATGCTGAAGTTCATGTGAGTGTCATCGCACCAGCGCATATAGACTTTGGTACGAGTGGCGCGCCCCAGCCGTCGATGAAATGTCGCGAGTCCCGTGACACTGCCGCTGGTTGGCTGGTTATTCGAGTACCGGAGCCATCAGACTAATTGGTTGGGTCCCGTCCCGGTCGGCGGCGACACGAATTCCCTCGGCTTCTTTGGAGTGGGCTCGTTGTGTGCTTTCTTGGAATCCATCTATTGGAAAGGGATGTGGGGATGAAGCTTTTTCATGCGCTAACACAGTTGTGGTGTTATATAGCTTTACATACATTGGATGCTATTTACTACATGCCTGTTAAATATAATCGCCACAAGCGCTCTATGTGGTGCTAAGACCTATTACATTTTGACTGTTAACGTGAACTGTAAGGCCCATACCGGTGCTGTTTTGCAATGCCACAGGCAGCGAGTCATTTAGTGCCCCGTATGTTTTGTCGACTTTTTGTGATTCCTCTTCAGCGCTTGGGTGAAAAAGTAAGACACCGATGTATTTATAGCAGAATCGGTTGTCTCACGATGTACGATGATGGCCATGAGCTTGAGTACTGTTTTCTTCCCGTAAAAATAATCGTAATAGTCCGGTAGTTTTCATAGTTTTGGATAATATGAAGGTATAATACAAAGTAACTTGGACTAAGGAAATAAATATGGGGCAATTGGAAACTTGTCAGTCAGCTCATACCGCTATAAAATCTTATATATGTTTCATGGTTCAGAGTGGAAGATATAGAGGATTATTCATGGCTCTGAGTGGAAGATAAGGATTTCTTACATATCGAATCGAAAGATCTATTGGCCAAAGACACGATGATAAATCGTAATGAACCATTCGTGGCGAGAATAGTTGATCTTTCCCCGCCGTCGATAGATCACTTGATCTTTTCCCGGCATAGTGGAAGACGTATCTTCCACTCAGAGCCATGCAGAATCCTCTATATCCCACTTTCTGTCAGCTCTTCTTCGACAGGATTGAGAACCTCCCGTGACTTGTGTGCTCGCGGTCACTGACCAAGTTTGAGAACCTCTCTTGAACTGTTTTCTA